CAGGTGTCTCTAAAGGTGTTTGTTGGGTTGGCATAGATGGAGATTAGGATTTGTCACTCCGTGTTTCGGAGAGGTATTTCTGGGCCCTCTCGGTAATACTCATCACTATAAGCCTTGCAAGCATTGTGACTAATGAGTTAGTTGCGGGATGAAGTATTACGGAACGAGTAAAGAGACATGCCGATAATGATATTGAACTAGGTATTGAGATACCGATGATCGAATCCCGGGCAAGTAACATACCGATGACAAAGGGAACAACGTATGTTGTTATGCGGTTTGACCGATAAAGATCTTCGTAGAATATGTAGGAACCAACATGAGCATCCAGGTTCCTCTATTGGTTATTGACCGGAGACGTGTCTCGTTCATGTCTACATAGTTCTCGAACCCGTAGGGTCCGCACGCTTAACGTTCGATGACGATTGGTATTATGAGTTTATGTGTTTTGATATACCGAAGATAGTTCGGAGTTCCAGATGTGACCACGGACATGATGAGGAGTCTCAAAATGGTCGAGACATAAAGATTGATATATTGGATGACTATATTCGGACACCGGAAGTGTTCAGGAGAAGTTTCGGATATAATCGGAGTGCCGGAAGGGTCATCGGAACCACCGGAGAAGTAATGGGCCTTATTGGGCCTAATGGAGAGAGAGGGGCGGCCAGGGGCTGGCCGCGCCCCCCATGGGCCTAGTCCAAATTGGACTAGGGGGAGGGGCGGCGCCCCCTCCTTCCTTCTCCTCCCCCTCCTTCCTTCTTCTCCTAGTAGGACGAGGAAAAGGGGGAGTCCTACTCCTAGTAGGAGGAGGATTCCTCCCCCCTTGGCGCGCCCTAGCGGGCTGGCCGGCCTCCACCTTGCTCCTTTATATACGGGGGCGGTGGGGCACCCTAGAACACACAAGTTGACAATTGTTTAGCCGTGTGCGGTGCCCCCCTCCACAGTTACACACCTCGGTCCTATCGTCGTAGTGCTTAGGCGAAGCCCTGTGCCAGTAACTTCATCATCGCCGTCACCACGCCGTCATGTTGATGAAACTCTCCCTCGGCCTCAACTGGATCAAGAGTACAAGGGACATCTCCCAGCTGAATGTGTGCTGAACGCGGAGGTGCCGTACGTTCGGTGCTTGGATCGGTTGGATCGCGAAGACGTTCGACTACATCAACCGCGTTAACTAAATGCTTCCGCTTTCGGTCTACGAGGGTACGTGGACACACTCTCCCCTCTCGCTACTATACATCACATAGATAGATCTTGCGTGATCGTAGGAATTTTTTTGAAATTACCGCGTTCCCCAACAGTTTGCCACGGTGGAAACCACCGATGATGTAAAAGCGCTCAGTGTTACGGGCTTGGCCTGCGAGAACCTTGTCAAAATCCGTGTCCACTACAGGGTCTAGGGCAGCACGAAGGACTCCCTGGTTGAACTCGCCTCGGCCATCATCGACCCCTACTACGAAAAGATGAAGCAGGATGCCCAGAGAACAAGTGTCGTATCCTGGCACAGGGCCTGGATGCAGCGACTGGATGAACCTCACCTCAGGTTCGCGGCCAAGAGCGTGTACACATGCTTCGAGATGTACAGGCGGATCGTTGACATGAGGAAGTGCCTCGTTACCCAAATCGACAAGCCCGGATCGAGCCACAAGCAAAGCAACCGTCACAAGAAGTAGATGATGATCAGATGATCGTTTATGCTAGTTAATCATGCATGTAATATATAGTTTACTTTATTGATGTGTGGAAGTGTCATGTGTGTAGTAGCCACCTATGAAATTATGCATGTAATAGTTTACTTTGGTGTGTGCAAATGCCATGGTTGTAGTAGCCACCTATATAATTGGATGTTTAATTTGGTTAATCATGCATGTAATATAATGTTGTTGTTCTGTATGCAATCCCATCGCACAACACACACGTCTTATTAGCAACAATCGTCTGTGTTATTATTGGTCTTCACGCATATTTATGATTACAGACCTGTTTGCTGCGTATCACACACATCTTGTTATATTGAACCGTTTACGTTTTCTTGTCTCAACACAAACAGTTCATCCACGTGAACCGCATATGCCGTATATCGCGCACACCTTGATTTGGCTGACCATTTCCTTTGTGTCGCCTAATCACAAATAGTTCATCATAGTGAACCGTATGTTGTTTATCGCACACACCTTCATCTGGCTGCCCGTTTCTTTTATTGCTCCTCATCGCAAACGGTTAATTGCACTGAACCGTATGCCCTACATCACACACGGAACTAAAATCTGAACCGTATTTGATGCATCCGTCATCGCAAACGTTTTGCACCTTTTTTGACGGTTTTTTACACCATCATTTGCGATTAATGCATCGCACACAGTTTTGTCAAAGGGTCTCTGGTCGTAGTATCGCGTTAGCAACATCCTGCAGTAGTGACACTTCATCATCCCCAACACCGGCCAAACTAAATATTCCATCAGTGCCAAAATATAAGGGGTATTATTTTTTTGCAAATTCAAATTTCTTTAACTTTGACCAAGTTTAGAGCAAAAAGTATGACATCCACAATATTAATAATGTGAAAATTCATTTCATGATTGAATCTAATAACACCGATTTGATATTATGAATTTTGATATATTTCTCTACAAATTTGATGAAACTTAAAGAAGTTTGACTTAAAAATACACACCATATATTTTGAAATAGGGTGAGTAAAGAAATTTAAGAATCCCAACAACGTTAATGGCGCAGCAAAGCACGCCCAACCCTTCTAGTAAATACATCATGCTCCCTAATTTTTAAGGTCTCATAATCAATTGAGGTCTCAATTTAGAATTAGGTCATTCGATTTTGACCAGGTCAAAAATTTCTAAGGAGCTTTCTCATCTGATTCTTTTAATTCAATATGCTTCTACAAATACAATATGCTCCCTAATACTATGCTCCTTAATTGTTAAGGCCTCACAATCAATTGAGGTTTGTAATCTAAAATTGGGTCATTCATTTTTTACCCTATCAACAATTTTTCAAGGTGCTCTCTCATTCAATTCTTTTAGTTCATGATGCTCGTTAATTTTTTAGGTTTTCCATTCGATTGAGGTATTCAGGATTTGGTTCATGATTTTGACCTGATCAGCGATTTTTCAAATCAATCGGCAACAAAGGGTCTATAAAAACATATCAACCCCGCGGACCCTCTCACAACCTAGAAAAAAAAAGAAGCGTCAACATGTGATACGGTAGCACAAATATAGTACATGCAGACATCGTCGAAGAAAATTTCTCCACATAGGTATGGCTTGATTAGCAGATAACACAAAATCACACCACGAAAGACCCACCAAAACACCGCATTATATATAGAAAGAAAAACACACTCCATGATCTCGCCCACTCACAAAACCAAAAACTCTCCCAGTTCTAAAATATAAGGTGTACTTTTTTAAAAAAAGTTAAATTTCTTAAACTTTGATCAAGTTTAGAGCCAAAAACATCATCATCAACAATACTAAATTAATAAATTATCAAAATTCATTTCATGATGAATCTAATGATACTAAATTAATATTATGGATATTGATATATTTCTCAACAAATTTGTCAAACTTAAAGAGGTTTGACTTTTCAAAAAACTAATACACCTTATATTTTAAAACAAAGGGAGTGAAAATATGAAAAAACCAACGATACCAACAGCACGGAAAAGCGCGCACAACCTTTCTAGTGTTAGAAGAACCGTTGTGCTGACCAAACTCAATTGAATGTTATACTATGAGATCCTTTCGTCATAAGTTAATAGTTAATAACACAGTAAAGTTAAGGTTTGCATGATTCTTAAGACCATAACAGTATCGAGTTCCTTCATACCAAATGATGCACTTTGTAGTTTGTCAAACGTCAACCATAATAGGGTGATCATAATGACAGTTTATGAGTTTATTGGAAAAGTGCGACAAGGAACTAGGTAGCTCAAGACTGGGATTTGCTCCTCCGACAATGAAGAGACATTCTGTGGGCCCTCTCGGTGTCACAATATCCATGTCTGGCTAGACACAGTGCGTGCGATTGATCATGGGGTGCCTTGCTCGATTCGTCCTATTTGGTGTTGCTTTGCTCAACATGTGGTCATGTGGTGGTCCTTGACGGAATACTCCTTAGGAGTGAGTTCTCGTCACCCAGACTAATGTTGACACATGATCTCTCCCGCGCCGAAAGTGATCCAATCGGACGCATTATATCATCGGTATACGTGCGGGTTGTCCGCAAACTCTCATATTGATAACGGGAGAGTATGCGGGCTCTCGGAAGCGCATGTTCATCACATAGGACGCAGCCCACTCTGGATCACATTTTCTCTTCTCTCTCTCTCTCTCTTCATTTTCCACCTGTCACATGCAAGTGACTGAACATATAAGAGAGAAAATAAGAAGCATGGTTGCATGCATGAATAAATAAGGGCTCAAAACAAAGACACCGGATACTGACCCGGCGTGTCCCTGGATGTTTAGGGGATCAGATTTGCTAAAGCCTGTGTGTAGATGCTCGTATCCATATTTGTTAGCATGCCTTGGTGTCCATTTCTTAAACATGTTGTCCATAGAGCTTACTTAACTTCCTAGCTACTCCAGTTCTTTACGCCAATAACGGAACGGGTCATCTGGTCCATATAATTTGTGTGTAGGACAAAATATATGACGACTCTGCTCTTGTGTGTGTGACGACCTACAAACCTTAACATCGCGGCGCGCGGCCCCGTAGCAGCATAAATACCGGCCGGCGGCACCGTTCCACTTCGTGCACTCCACAGAACGGAGACTCCACGCCACGCCCGCGAGTTACTACCGACCGTGTTCGCGTGCGGCACGGTGATTAGGCCGTAACGAGATCCTACTGTATTAATTAACCGGCTAATTAGATTTACCCCTACAGTAAATAGGGAGCGTCCCACCCTGTGTGTCCGTCGTGTCTATATATCACCGCCGTAACCACTAGCGACAGCCGAGCTCCAGGCCATGGCGCCTGCCGCGTTCGACGCCGAGGCCGGCGGCCCGGCGATCGTGGCCGCGGCAGGCAACGACGCGCACAAGCCCGCCCCCGGGGCCGGGGCCGACGCCGACGCCGGCGCCGCCTTCGTGCTCGAATCCAAAGGTACCCGGCCTGCCCCGCCCCGCCCTCCCGCGCTTCTCCGGCAATGCGGGGCCCTGCTGATTCGATTTTAATCGCTTATGGCAGGGACGTGGTGGCACGCGGGTTTCCACCTGACGACGGCGATCGTGGGGCCGACGGTGCTGACGCTGCCGTACGCGCTGCGGGGGATGGGCTGGGCTCTCGGCATCACCACGCTCTCCCTCATCGCCGCCGTCACCTTCTACGAGTACTCCCTCATGTCCCGCGTGCTCGACCACTGCGAGGCGCGCGGCCGCAGGCACATCCGCTTCCGCGAGCTCGCCGCCGACGTCCTCGGTAATCAACCCGCGCGCCGACCTGCCTCACCATACATCTCCTCCTTGTGTTCGCTGCAATGCCCTTACGCCCACTACGAGTGACAGACGATGCGTCTCGACCCATCTTCTGACTTTGCGTTTGTGTGCACGGCAATACGGCATGAGGCAGTACCCACTGTGTTTTGCTGTTGCCTGTTGCTGTCGTTCGTAGTCCTCCCATTAATCTGGATGCGTGTCTTGGTGAATTTGTGCTGGGAGAGAGAGACGTGTGATTAATTATGATTCGTTTTTGGGTGGATGTGTTTGGTGTGCAGGCTCCGGCTGGATGTTTTACTTCGTGGTGATTGTGCAGACGGCCATCAATACAGGGGTTAGCATCGGTTCCATCTTGCTGGCGGCCGATTGCATCGAGGTGAGCCCTGCGTATCCTCCAAGAACCACTGAATTTAACTGTAAATTTCATTAGCCTGTTATGTATGCTTTGTTTGTTGTTCTCTAGTTAGTTTCATGTCGTCTTCGTCCTGGACATAAATAGTTGGAGTTGCCTATATAATACTCTGCAAACTAGGAATACCCACAGACGAGAGGGTTGCGGTCCCAAATGTACAAGGTCATTCATTTCATTCTTGCGTGGATTTGTCATACTACCATACGCACTTATGCAGCATGAGGCGCTGCATATTCTGGCCTAACTGCAGACTCTGCTGTGCTGTCGCCTCCGCATTTGAGGATTTTTTTCTTTTTTTTTTTGGAAAAGGAGGAATACCCCCGATCCGGATTTGAGTATTGCTTTCTCTCATCCATTGCTGCAGCTATTGCATCCGCACGCAGACACCAGTTCGATAAGGGATACTCAGTGCTGAGTTGACATTAGTACATTAGTAAGAAAGCTTCTCCTTGAGGCCAGTGCTTGGGAGGATTCAAAATACTCCCTCCGTCCCAAAATAAGTGTCTCAACTTTGTACTAGCTATAGTACAAATTTGTACTAAGCTCAAGACACTTATTTTGAAACGGAGGGAGTATGTAATTAATGTTTGATTGGTATTGCTCGTGGGTGTTTGTGCAAGTATGCAGTATGTCTCAGTCTGTCAGTCATGTATCCAGTAGCAGTATCTTGCATATCTGATGTCGTTATTCTGAAGTCTGAACCGTGGAGACACTATGATTGATCCTTTAGCAGTTTTCTTGAAGCATGGGAACACATGGTTTCCCACTCATTTGTTTCAAATATCCTGATGTTAATAGTATGGCTGAAACCAGTGTTCACATTAGTAAAACAACAGTGAAGTAGCTCATGTGTCATTTCCAAGTGCTTGTTGTCCTGGGCTCCTGGCTTTGGAGGTCTGAACATATATAAATATATAAGTTGTGTGCTAGCTCTGAATTGCGCACTATTTATGCCTCCCTGTCAAGATTACAGTGCCTTTTTTTCTGACATTTAAAGGCTGCAGGGGAAGGAGATATTTCAATCTTTTCGTGTCTCTTGACTTGAATTCTGAATATTTGAGTATATGGACCAAGTTCAAGTAGAACAGAAATTAATTGGCAACAAACTGAATATTATGCTTTCTTTGATAGGAAGGAGTTCACTGGCCGACTTACTAGTTTCTACATTTTTTAAAAGCAAAGACAATTGGAACTAATATGTACAACCAGTGAAGTTGGGTCAACAGACTTATGTCTGCTGTCACAGATATTGACTAAAAAAAATGCTTTCTGTTCTCTGCTCATATCGTCAGTTTCATAAACTGATCGTTATTATGGACAAACAGATCATGTATTCGAGCCTTGCTCCCGATGGTCCCCTAAAACTGTACCACTTCATCATCATCGTGGCTGTGGTGCTGGCCTTCCTCTCCCAACTACCATCGTTCCACTCGCTGCGGCACATCAACTTGGTCTCACTACTCCTAAGCTTGGGCTACACCATCCTTGTGTCTGCTGCTTGCATTCGTGCAGGTATTATTGCGTGAGCTCTCCTTACTACACTTCCTCTGTCCATTCCTGATACGTTTCACGTAAGATTTAAGAGAATTATTATATGTTGTGGATTTAGGAACTAGATTCCTGAAACACTTAGGCTGGCATATCAGAGGAATAAGATGCTATAATCTTTCATGGTATTTCATAGATGTATAAGCTAGGTCGTTATAGAAACTGCTCTTTACAGCTATATCTTTGCAGTGATTCTTTGATGTACGCCATTGGAATAAACTCATATGCAAAGACACATCGACACCGCAGCACCATGGAGTCATTAGCTGTGACATTCCTCTACAAAACGCATTAGTGGTTGTTAAGGTAGCACTGATTCCCCAGCAGCCGTAGCATTACAAACTAACCCAGACTAGTCTGTGTTCGCAAAACCCAGATTAGTCTGTAAAGTGATCAATAGTGCCTCAGTAGCCACATGATAGTAATCAGTGTGTTCAGTAATTTGCGGTTTTCACTATTGAGAACTACAATGGTCCTTTCCAACAATTGAATCATGTGACTGAAAACTAAATGACACCTAAGCAGTGTTTGCTTTTGTAGTTGTCATCATGTCATGATGAATCTCCATTAGTCAGCAATTACAAATTATTGTACTTAAATTGACGATTTTGTCACCATTCAGCTCTATTTCAGAACTCAGTAGACAAGATGACCTTCTAGATTTATCTGAAATTTTTTCTTTCCATTAAGACTTATTTCCCACGGGTCGATTACAGCATATATCGAATTTATGTTACTCCCTCTGTAAACTAATATAAGAGCGTTTAGATCACTACTTTAGTGATCTAAATGCTCTTATATTAGTTTACGAAGGGAGTACTTCATAACTATGATTCCGATTTTAGGCACAAACCAAACAACGGGGTCGAGATATTGATGTGATCAATTCCAAAGTAAAACCGAATTTGTCTGCTGGATTCTTTCGGCCCACAATTGAGTTAAAATACTCGTCGTTATAAACTTATCGAGCATCTCTCTGTCAGAAATTCTAATTTAGTTTGTGGTGAAGTTCCATAACAAAAGAAGAATATAATCGTCTGTACAAGTAGGAAAAGTATGTTCATGCAAGCATAGTCCATTTCAGGTTTTTGTGCTCTGCCATACGGTATTTAATTTGTTACCATTCTTGACAGGTTTGTCGAAAAACGCTCCAGCCAAGGACTACTCTCTAAGCTCATCCAAGTCAGAGCAGACCTTCAATGCCTTCCTCTCCATTTCCATCCTGGCATCTGTTTTCGGCAATGGCATACTGCCTTTTTTTTTTGAGAATCTCACAAAGCTTTATTACTGAATCATAATGTTCATAGGTACAAAAAGAAGATCGCCGGGTTGTCCTAGCCAAGTGTGTCGGCCAAACCCTAAAGATAACGCATGCTTTGCGAGATTATGGGCCTCCGTATTGGAGGTCCTATACTCATGAGTAAACGAACATGAAATAAAGGTAGTTGCTCTAGTCTTGATTTCCTCGACAATGGCTCCAAATTCTGCTGAGCTTCCCTGTCTGATTGCATCTACCACCACCTTGCAATCGGAGGCAACAAGTAAATGGTTGATATAGAGATCTTCTGAAAGTGCTAATGCCTCCCGAACAGCTAGTGCTTCTAGCACTTGGGGGTTGTGCAGTCCTCTGAAAACGAGAGCTGACGCTCCCATGAACAAACCTCTCTCATCCCTGCAAACCACACCAACTGCGCCAAACGTACCTGGGCGTGACACGGCCGCGTCCACATTGAGTTTGTAGTAATCTGTTGGTGGTGGAATCCACGTACGGGGTCGTGGTACTGCTATCCCATGTGCTTCCTCCTTCTTCTTCTTCAAAAACTCTATGTCTGATAAGTAAGCTTTGATGAAGTTGTCAGTGGCAAACGGAGTCTGGTATATATCCTCATGTATAGCTTTCCGTCTTGCACTCCAAATCGCCCATAAAGTAACAATCATCAACTGAAATTGCTCTGGTGGAAGAGAGTCATTCATGGCAAAGAGCCACAGCCGTGCGTCAGGTTCTGAGGTTGCCCACATGTGCTCGACCATCTCGGCTTCTGAAAGTGCCCACACACACCTAGACACATTACACTCCAGCAAAGAATGCCGCCAGCTATCCTGCCCTCCGCATAGGGAGCAAGCACTCGTAGTGGCCATATGACGATGGTTTAGGACATCTCCCGTAGGGAGTGAGTGTTGCGCCAATCGCCAAGTGAAAAAGCGCAGTTTCGGTGGCACTGACATGTTCCATAGCGAGTTCCACCCCCTCATCTCATGTTCAGAGTTGGAAGGATCCTCCCTTTCCTCCAGCCATGCCTCGCGCCCAATCTTGATCTTGACAATCATCTTATAAGCTGACCGTACAGAAAAACGCCCCCTTGGATCATCATTCCATCCCCAGAAATCGTCCACACGCCGTGTACAGAGCGGTATTTGCAAGATCGCCTCCACATCAATGGGTATGAACACCTGTCTAAGCAAGTCCTCTCGCCACGCAGCTCTAGTGTGGTCGATCAGATCAGAAACCAGTTGCGGTGGGTCAGCAACTAAGGAGGCCACCGGCTTCATCATTCCGTCCCTTGGGATCCAACTATGTTGCCATATCTTCGTGGTAGTTCCATCACCAATACGCCGGATAGCTCCTTGGGTGATAATATCTCTCCCATCAAGTATAGATCGCCACACCTGAGAAGGATGTGGACCTAGTTGAGCTTCAAGGACTGTACATTGTGGAAAATATGATGCTTTAAGGATTTGTGCACTAAGAGAGGAGGGATCATTCAATAATCTCCAAATTTGCCGAGACAAAAGTGCCAAGTTGAAGATTTCTATATCCCGAAAGCCAAGTCCTCCCAAACTTTTCGGTCGGGTCATCAAATCCCAAGCTACCCAACATGGTTTCCTCTTGCCTCTCTTGCCCCCCCCACCAAAATTGACGAATGAGTGACATAATGCTTCCACAAAGGCCTCGAGGTAATCTGAAGCAAGACATCGAAAAAACTGGTAAAGCTTGAGCCACAGATTTTATGAGAACCTCCTTTCCTGCCACTGATAAAAGTTTCTCCATCCATCTCTTTATCCTTTCCCAAACTCTGCCTCGTAAATATTTGAAGGTGCCATTTTTGGACTGTCCAACATCGGTCGGCAGACCCAAATACTTTTCACTCAAAGACTCATTCTGCACATTAAGTATATTCTTTATCTCCACCCTAAGGGTCTCCGGGCATCCCTTACTGAAAAATATGGACGATTTATCATAGTTTACCCTTTGGCCCGAAGCCAAGCAATATGCATCAAGTAGGTTTGAAACCTCATTTGCCCCCTGGACACTAGACTTGAAAAGCAGCAGGCTGTCATCTGCAAACAAAAGGTGGTTCACTACCGGAGCCGTGGGCGCCACCTTTATGCCACCGAGCACTAATGACTGAGAACTGTGTTTTAAAAGGCACGAAAGGCCCTCCGCTGCAATCAAGAATAAGTAAGGGGAAATAGGATCTCCCTGCCTGATACCCCTGGAAGGTGAGAAGCTCTCTAATCTTTCTCCATTAAACAAGACCGAGAATGAAACAGAAGTGATCATGCTCATAACTGTATGGATTCAATCTGGTGCAAAGCCAAGCTTAGCCATAATTGCCTTTAGATAAGGCCACTCTAGTCTGTCATATGCCTTCATCATATCAAGCTTAAGTGCACAAAAGCTGTTTGTCTTGGATCTGTTTCTCTTCATGAAGTGCAAACATTCATACGCACAAATAATATTATCCGTGATCAACCTCCCGGGAACAAAGGCTGATTGCTCCTTTGAGATAATATCTGGCAATATCAACTTCAATCTACTCGACACCACTTTAGAAGCTATTTTATAAATCACATTGCAAAGGCTGATAGGCCTAAACTGGGTAAGTAGAGTGGGATTTTGTACCTTGGGTATCAACACGAGTACCGTATCATTAATGCTTGCAGCAGTCTCCTCTCCACGGACGATCCGAAGCACCACTTTAGTTACTTCATCCCCACAAATGTCCCAGTGGCGCTGATAGAAGTGTGCAGGAAAACCATCTGGCCCCGGTGCCTTCGTAGGAAACATCTGAAACAGGGCCTGCTTAACTTCCTCATTTGTGTAAGGAGCGCAAAGCGAAGCATTCATCTCTGGTGTCACTTTCCGAGACACATGTTGTAATACATCATCTACCCCCTGTACACCTTCCGTCGTGTACAAGGTTTTATAGAAATCTGTCACAAGTTGTTTCATCTCAGCCTTGTCCTCTACTCTTATACCCATCGCATTGTGTAGAGCTCGAATCATATTCTTCCTACGCCGCATATTTGCTCTCATGTGAAAAAAATTTGTGTTGCGATCACCCGAAGTCAGCCACTGTATGCGCGATCTTTGTCTCCACATTAACTCCTCCCTATGATAGAGCTCAACCAGTCGTTCATTCAACTTTTGCTCAAGGTGATTTGGAGCAGTCCTAGACGGAACACTCCGAAGCCTCTCTAGCTCCGCTTTTGCCTTCTTGATCTCCTTCCTAACACTTCCAAAAGTTGCATCCTCCCATGCCGAGAGGTTCTTTGACAGAAGCTCCAATTTTCTGCGAATCCCCTCAACTCCTTGATCCGCTTGCAGTTCGCTCCATCCTGAGCTGATAGTGTCACGCCATGATTCATGTGACTCCCACATCACTTCGTACCGGAAACTCGGTTTAGGGCGTGGTAAAACCTCTTCAAACTGTACGAGTATTGGTCCATGATCCGAGGACGCCGAAGTTAAGTTTGTAACCTTGGCCATAGGGAAAAGCGCCGCCCAATCAGCTGTGGCCATCGCTCTGTCAAGCCTCACGCGGGTGTAGGATCCCCCGGTCACTTTTTTCTCAAAGGTCCAAAATCTGCCATGATAGCCCAAGTCCATCAACATGCAAACGTCAACCGCATCCCGGAAACCTTGTATTTGTGCATTACTCCGATTAGCAGCTCCCTCATGTTCATCCGGACGTAAAACTTCGTTAAAATCGCCCAAACACAGCCAAGGGAGGTTGCTAAAAGACGCCAACCCCTTTAGGAGATCCCATGTTTGGTGTCTCAGTTGTGTCTGGGCCTCGCCATACACGCATGTCAACCTCCATGGGTCTTTCCCTTCCTCTACCACCTTTGCATCAATATGATAAACAGAATCACCCAAGATCTCAACATTTATTGTATTATTCCAAAAAATCCCTATTCCTCCACTTCTTCCTTGACTATCTATCGCATAGGCATTATCATAGCCCAAAGTGTTAGCTAAAGCTTCTACACGTGCACCCTTTACTTGAGTTTCAACAATACACAGCACGGTAGGGGTAAATTTCTTCGCAAAGTCGCGAAGCTCACGAACTGTCGCGGCTTTACCCGCGCCGCGACAGTTCCAACAAAATGAACTCATTGCGTCCGGCGGCACTCCTCGGAGGAGCCCGCCGATCCATCATACTGGTCCTTGCCACGTTCCACTCCATCTGTCACCATACTCGGTGTCCCTGCATCAGACAGCTCCTTAAACAGGTCTCCTTTATTGCCAACATCTTTCTTCCGTCGCTTCACCTCTTTCCTTGGAGACACATATATAGGCGGCATCGGTGGAACCCCGTCCGGCTTTCCAGAGATTACAAGAGCTGTAGAGCTCACTGGGACCACGTCCCCTTCTCCATCATCACTCGACTGAACTGTCTCTGGATGGTTCTTGTCCGAAGATTGCCTCTTGTTACTTGCCACCACTACCCCCAGCGTTGCAGCAGTCGGTTCCTCGATCATACCCTTGGGCTCGCTTGACCCCGATACTTCTGTGGTCATTGCATTGTCCTCTCCTTCATCCTGCCTCCCCGCCTCCTTGCGAGGTTCATTCTGATATGCATTGAAGCGCCAACTTTGATTGGGGTTATACTGCTCTCGCCCCCTACCTCTTCCTCCTGCATTCCTTGGGCCGCCTCGTCCCCTCTGGTTACCAAAACCACCTCTGCCAGGTTGCCTGAAGCGAATATTGTCAGCCAGAACAAAGTCACCCCACTCAAACTTTGTCTCATCATGAATACCATCACCACACTCCTCGTGCCAATGCCCGCATTCACCACAGTTAAAGCAAAAGACAGGTAATTTCTCGTATTTTACTTGATATCTAACTCATTCATCCCCCTTCTTTCCAGTGACAAACCTCTTAATTTTTGCGTTGATATCGATTTTCACCCTCACCCGGACAAATTCACCAAAGAAACCTGCCGGTAGCTTGAGCTGCACTTCTTCCACCTCGCCAATTCGCGATGCCATCCCCCTGGCTGCGGGCTCGATCAAAAAGTTGTCAGGTAAACGATGGATTTGCGCCCAAACTGCCAACTTATCCAACTTGATGCTATCAGGGTTTTTGAACCCATCATACTCCACCAAAATCACTGCTTGGTCTCTGAAAAGCCATGGCCCCTCTAGCATGGCCTTATTCCAATCCCCTAGACAACCAAACTGCGCTGTGAACAAGTTGTCCTTCACCTTCCTCCAGACCACCGTTTTCGCTGGATTCCAGGCTGCACGCATGTCCCCATAAAGAGCATTAGGGCTGAAAGTCCTTGTAGTGTGTACCGTGGCTATGGCTAGCCACTTCGCCGGCGCCCCCAGATCCGGTAACTCCTCCTCCCACACGAAATCATCATCTTCCTCCTGCAAATTCAACCTGGCTAGCAGCTCCTCCGTCGTCTCCTTGCCATGCCGCCCCTGTGAGCTTGATCCCGACGCCATGAACCGAGCAGTCTAGTCGCCGCCAACGAAAACCCTAGATCGATCTGCCAGAGAAACCACTATAACCAAGGCCGGGTAAGGTCACGAGGGGCCTCCCTTGATCAGCCCGAGTCTAGGGGATCACCAGCAATGGCATACTGCCTGAAATCCAGGTATATGACCAAGGCCCAAACTGTGCGGATGACGCCAAGCATACTGGGCCATGTAATTATCATGAGGCACCGGGCTCTTTCTTCATCGAGTCATTCAAATTACAGGCCTATCATACAAACCTCATAGTGGGCCTATTTTTGAACTCGGATTTGCAGGCTACCTTGGCGCCGCCGGCCGCCGGAAAGATGATGAAGGCTCTGGTGATGTGCTACTCCGTCATAGGCTTCACCTTCTACCTCCCGTCGATCACCGGGTACTGGGCGTTCGGCAGCCAGGTCCAGTCCAACATCCTCAAGAGCCTCATGCCGGACTCGGGGCCGGCCCTCGCGCCGACCTGGCTGCTGGGCCTCGCCGTTCTCTTCGTCCTCCTCCAGCTCCTAGCCATCGGCCTCGTGTACTCCCAGGTGGCATACGAGATCATGGAGAAGAACTCAGCGGACGCGACGCAGGGCAAGTTCTCGCGCCGGAACCTGGTGCCCCGGCTGCTGCTGCGGACGCTTTACCTGGCCTTCTGCGCGCTCATGGCCGCCATGCTGCCCTTCTTTGGTGACATTGTCGGCGTGGTCGGCGCCGTAGGGTTCATTCCACTCGACTTTGTCCTCCCCGTCATCATGTACAACATCGCGCTTGCGCCGCCGAGGAGGTCCACGCTGTACATCGCCAACACGGTCATCATGGTCGTCTTCACTGGCGTCGGGGCCATCGGCGCCTTCGCCTCTATACGGAAGCTCGTGCTAGACGCCGGCCAGTTTAAACTCTTCAGCAACAACGTAGTCGACTGAAGTACGCACAACTATGTAGAGTCTAGTTTGTTAGGTGATTAGCCCTTGATTTCTTGAGGTATAGGCGTATAGCTCAGTAATTAAGCTTTGTTCCTCCCCTTTTACATATAGGAGTAGTAGTTTTTTTTTTTTTGAACTTAGGAGTAGTAGTTATTAATTTACACGTACGCACGCATGCATCCGTCCAGTGTACACCAGCATAGTACCCCTTCGTTACATAATGTAGTAATGTAGTGTATCCAGATCCACTATACTAAACATATAAAATATGAAAATATGTCTCGTGATATATTTAATGGCATGTATTTGATATTCTAGATGTAGATATTTTTTCTCTGTAAGTCTGATCAAAATGTGTAGAAATTATTTTTAAAAAGTCTATATGCACTACCCATTATGAAATGGAGGCACTTTTTTTTGGAAAAGGAGGCTCACCCCCGGCCTCTGCATCTGAAAGATGCATGCATCCATTTTATTAAAAAGTTCGAGTAAAACAAAACTAAATGGAGGCATTTCTGGTAACGTAAAAGCAATGTGTTACAAAAAGAACATGCAAGTGGTAAAACATGACCACAAATGACTTGACAATAATTTTAGGCCTTGATAAACCTTAGGTCCTACTTGAGGGAAATTTACTGTTGTCCTACAAAACACTGTGCTCGGAGGCCCAACAGGGTCTATAAGAATAATGTTGCGTAGTAGACATCACGAAGTAAACTGAAGTTTGAAATATCAACCAAACATTGTCGCTTCTTGCTGAACGAGTCTATGCATCAGTGGAAGTGGCACACCTCGTCCTGGGCATCTTTCGGCCGATGGCTAGATCATGGGAGAACGCAGCTGCTTCAGCGTCCTTTGGGCCTACAACACAAACCACTGTGCACGCTCCAACTACTTGTCAGGCACCGACTTCAAGGTCCCTCCAAGAATGGGGTGTCGCCCAAGAAAACGACCAATACTGCACATGTCTCGGCGGGCTCCCCAAAGGAGCGCCGCCAGGCGCAATGAGTCTCTTCTGTTGGAACTGTCGCGGAGCGGGCAAATACGCAACAGTTCAAGAGCTTCGGTTTCGCGAGGCAATTTGTCCCTTTTGTGTTTTGTATAGTTAAAACCCAACTTTCGCAAGTTAGAGTGGAAAACTTAGCAAGCACATTAGGTTTCGATAATTGTTATGCAGTGAGTTGCTCTGGAAGGAGTGGTGGTGGTGGAATAATAGAATAAAAGTTGAGATTTTTGGTTATTCAGAGTACCATATTGATGCACATGTAACTTTACCTGATGCTGAGCCATGGCGGTTTACCTGCATATACGGTGAAGCTAATGTGAGTCAAAGGGGAAGAACGTGGGATCTTCTACTGTCCCTAGCATCATAAAGCGATCGACCATGGGTGTGCATAGGCAACTTCAACGAGGTCCTCAGACTCGATGAACACGACGGGGTCGGAAATAGATGTGTGGCATAAGTCATTGACTTCTGTGACGCCACAGATGTTTGTGGGCTAGTTGATCCTGGATATTCAGGGAATAAATGGACTTTGGAGAAGAGGGTAACCGGGGGCAGCTATACCCGTGTCCGTTTGGATCGTGCCCTGGCCACTGGAAATTGGTGCAATCTGTTTCCTGATGCAATACTAGCTCACAAGACAGTTTCAACTTCAGATCACAACGCAATATTGTTACAGCTCCGGACGACCGATATGCAGCTGCAACATGCCAAGCCCTTCAGATATGAGCTCATGTGGGAGGCTCACGATGGTTTTCAGGAGACAGTAGAACAACACTGGCGGGGTCCGGGATAAATACTGTTGACGGGATCAAAGCAAAGCTGAAAAATCTTTCTAACACGCTCATTCGATGGAATTGGAACACGTTCAGCAATGTACGAGCAGAGATCAAACGCCTGAAGGATGAACTTGAGAGTTTACAGGCGGATCCAGCAAGGACCGGACCTTCACATCCAGAGATTAAAATCCAGGGTCGTTTGCTTGAGCTATACCATCAGGAGGTGGTAATGTGGCGATAGAGGGCACGTATTAACTGGCTAGCGGCTGGTGATAAAAATACTAAGTTTTTCCATTTACGAGCTAGTAGACGGCACCTCAAGAACAAGATCAAACACTTGATGCGTCAAGATGAGACCACAGTCGATGAAGCCTTGGAAATGTAAGGAATGGTAAATGATTTTTATCAAAATCTTTTTACATCTGAAGGTACGTCCAACATGCATAAGGTGCTAGACGTGGTTCCACGTAAGGTTACAGATGCCATGAATGCCCAGTTGACTGCTGAGTACACTAAAGAGGAGATAAAATTGGCATTATTTCAAATGGCACCAACGAAAGCACCAGGCTCAGATGAGTACCCAGCACATTTCTTTCAGAGGCACGGGGTAATGTGTGGGGAGGAGATTACTTTGCTTATTATGCAGATACTCAAAGGTGAACATGATGTAGAGGACTTAAATGACACAATCCTATTCCTGATCCCGAAGGTAACCAATCCAACTCTTCTCACAGAGTTCAGACCGATCAGTCTTTGCAATGTTATTTATAAAATTGCTTCGAAGGTTTTGGCTAATAGACTGAAATTACTCTTTCCTGAGATCATATCCAAGGAGCAGTCGGCCTTTGTCTCTGGACGTTTAATAACTGATAACATTATCTCTGCATATGAGTGCCTTCATTTCATGGAAAGCAACAGAACAAAGAAGAACAATTTTTGTGCTCTCAAGCTAGATATGATGAAAGCATATGACCTTTTGGAGTGGGATTATCTACAGGCCATCATGTCTAAGCTGGGGTTTGCACCAGCATGGATTGCTTCGGTTATGAGGATGGTAAGTTCAGTAAGTTTGTCAGTTTTATTTAATGGGAAAAGACTCGAGGAGTTGAAACTTTCAAGAGGTATTCGCTAGGGAGATCCAGTCTCACCCTACCTATTCTTGTTGCCAGCAGAGGGCCTTTCGTGCCTCATAAAAAGCCAGAATCTGTCATCTCAAATCAGTGGAATTAAAGTGACAGAGTCGGCTCCACCGGTGAGTCACCTACTCTTCGCAGATGACAACATGTAGTTCGTCAAGGCTAGTAGTGAGGGTGCTAGTTTGGTCATGTCTTTGTTGGATACTTATTGCAGTGCATCTGGTCAGAAATTTAATATGGCCAAGTCCTCGGTCTTCTTTAGTAAGGGATGCCCTCAAAATATTTGAGTTGAGATGAAACATATACTGAATATAACAAATGAAAGCTTATCAAAAAAATATCTTGGTATGCCCACTAACGTCGGCAGCGGTAAGAATGGAGCTTTGAAGTACTTAAAGGAAAGAGTCTGGAGCAAGGTCAAAGGGTGGATAGAAAAATCTTATCATATGGTGGAAAGGAGGTGCTTATAAAATCCGTAGCCCAAGCAATTCCGGTTTATTCCATGTCATGTTTTAAACTCCCTCGAGGTTTGTGTGAACACATCAACTCCATCATTCAGAAATTTTGGTGGGGAAGTAGACGGGGAGAAAGGAAAATTGCTTGGGTCTCTCATGGGAAGTAATGACCAGACCTAAGTACCAGGGGGACTCGGTTTTTGCGACATTGATCCCTGCTCGCAAGACAAGCATGGCGCATTTTGCAATCCCCTAACACCCTCAGTGCAACAATTCTAAAGGCTCGGTATTTTCCAAACATAGAATTTCTTCAAGCCGAACTTGGCAGCAAATCCTCTCATATTTGGAGGGCAATTTTAGAAGGTAAAGAAACACTTACTCAAGGCCTCATTAGGCGTATTGGAGATGGCTCCAAGACCAACATCTGGCAACAGAATTGGTTACCAAGAGAACATGCTAGGCGGCCATTTGTGTGTTTGTCACAGAATAAGCCACAATTGGTTTCCGAGCTTATGATACCGAATACAGCAACTTGGAACCGGGAACTAATTAGTACTACTTTCCTCCCTACCGACATGGAACTCATTCTGAATATTCCTATTAGTACAAGACAACATGAGGATCTCTGGGCGTGGTCACATTACAAAAAGGGCGAGTTCTTTGTGTGCTTGGCCTATAAGATGATCGTCTTGACGAAGCTGTGTCCGGAGGCCTGGATGGATGGCAGTGCAGGCTCTTCTGACACTTTGAAAGAGAATTGCAGCTGGTCCAAGCTTTGAAAATGAATGTCCCATCCAAGGTGAAGGTATTTCTATGGAGGCTTGCCTAATGCTCCCTCCCTACAGCAGATGTGAGGCACCTTCACCATATGTCCACTACTTCAAGCTGCACATTATGTGGGGCAGATGACTCATGGATGCACTCACTCCTCCTCTGTTCCATGGCTCGATGCGTGTGGGCGCTATCTGATGCAGAGCTCGTGGAACATATGCTAGATACAGCGGAGCCAGACCCGAAAAATTGGATCTTTGAAATGTCAGAATCAATATCACATGTGGAGTCCACTAGACTGGTGGTGATGTTATGGGTGATCTGGAATGCACGCCAGAAGTTGATTCATGAGGGCGAACATCAAAGTACAATGTCCACTCATCAGTTTGTCGGGAAATGTTGCATGGAAAACAAAAAAAATCTACGCACACGCAAGATCTATCCATGGAGATGCATAGAAACGAAGGGGGAGAGTGTGTCTACGTACCCTCGTAGACCGTAAGTAGAAGCGTTTAACACGCGGTTGATGTAGTCGAACTTCTTCGCGCTCCAACCGATCAAGTACCAAATGTACGACATCTCTGCGTTCTGCACACATTCATCTCGGTGACTGATAACCCGCAAGTATACGGGATAGTTGTAGCCTCTTTCAATAAGTAAGAGTGTCGAACCGAATGAGGAGCTAAAGGTAGAACAAATACTCTCTCAAGTCCTATCGGCCACTGATACGACTCTACGCACGCTTGACGTTCTCTTTACCTAGAACAAGTATGAAACTAGAAGTACTTTGTAGGTGTGATAGGATAGGTTTACAAGATAATAAAGAACACGTAAATAAAAGCTAGGGGCTGTTTAG